CAACAGACATCCCTTTGCTCTTTTGTTTATTTATTGGTTTTTGAAGTGAGGCTTATAATTCAAGCCACACTACTTGTTTGAATTGTTTTTTAATACATGACTAATTTAATCATTTTGTGCACAGTTAGTGGGCAATAATCCAGTTTCGAATTCTCCAATGCTCTGTGTTAGCTTAATTTGTGTGCAATTGTATTCCTAATTGTTAGAATAAAAGTGTGAATGAGTAGTTCTATTGTCTTGCTTTTCTAAATGTGTTTTCTCAGGTTATCAAATGAAACGACAGTGAGAATATATTAAACTTGGTTTTGAGGCTAACACAGAGCAAACCAGAACTTGATATCGGAGTATTGTCACTTTATGAAAGACATATTGTTTACTATTCCTTAGGGGCCTCTAGTCTATACTTTGCCATCGCCGTACAAAGAGGAGATTATTGGTTTAAGCAAAGCCTCAGGAATTCCAGTGGGTAGGTGTCTGTACGCAGTTGAAATTAGCACTTATGGCATGGACACTAAAAAATCACTACACACACAGAACATGTGTAACAGGTTCGAATGGTTCCCAGGTATAAGGTCCTAACTGAGAACTTGGGTACTGGCAAATGCCGTATTTTCACCAGGGGCCTATTCAGGGGGTCACAGGGTACCCATGACCCCCCTTTCAAAGCTAAAAACAACATGAAAATCATATGACGTCATAGTGACAATTTGATATGTTAGGATCTTCCAATGAAAATCCTGGATACGGCCCTGTTCACCTGTGGCACAAGGAAAAATATGATGTCCACACTTAGTACCTAGTCATGCATCAAAGCATGAACATTTTCAAATAGAAAAACATAAGCTGTAGAAAAGCTAAAACTTTGTATTAAAGGCTGCTCAAGGAACATAGTTTAAAGTACAATTTTAGCATTGTACAAGTTAACCTGATTTGAATAAAATATTGTTTTAACCTCTCATTTATAGGGGAAGTTGTTTTGTATAACATTTTCTACGAAGTCTTCACCGTCTGCACGTCTATTGTTGCTGAGAATAAGAAAGGTGCACCATTTTATGATATTTTATTGTAAAACTTTGCATAGAAAAATCTACCCTGCTAGCATCTAGTGTTATTTT